ACAAAATGAACATTTACAACTACTGACTAAAGTGAGACAGCCTATTATAGGTAAAGCTGACTTTTCATCTATACTGATTTCTTATGGCTGAACTACAGATAGATATAAAAGGCACAGATTAATGCAGCCCTATAATTATTAATACATAATTAAATGCATTTTTTTAGATGCAAGCAGTGTAAGTACTCAAATTTGACCTGGTATCAGCATCTTGCAGTCCATGTACAGCAAGTCTAAAGTGTGAGAGATAGAAGCAGTAAAAGAAGCCAATTGGTTCATGTGCTGATAAGAAACATGCTGCTTCTCCTTTCACTGGCTAGCAACAGATTGGGGATGGGTTTAGAAAGCAGAATAAATTATGTTGGATATCAGACTGGGGGCATTTAGTTGCAGAAAAAGTACTTTGGGGTAAATCTCTGGATTGAAGATACATTTTGCACCAAAAGCTAGACCTGTTGTTTTATCTTTTATGTCACTATTTATTTTATTTGTAGTTATTTTTGGCTGGAGGTCTAATTTAAAGGTTTTTACATTGATGTATATTTTTTCTAGCTTGCCTATCTTTTTTTATCTGTGCACTGTCAGTCCTTATAAAGGGGTCACGTTGCCCCTAAATCTTTTAGGGGTTTCATTTTACCTCTACAAACAAAGCATTGTTTCCAATGCAGTACTATATATAAAGCAATATCTCTCAGTTTTAAATAAGCAAACAATGCTTACACAACTTTGTATTATATCTCCCTTCCTCCACTGATGAGCTTTCTCCAAACTTTGAGTTTTGGAAGTGCATGTGAATTATGATCAGAGTATATATCTTCCAATATTCAATGTACCTACATCCACAAATGTGCATTTTTAGTAACCAGTTACTAGCAATCCGCTTCCTGGCCTCTGAACTGTGGTCAGGTGTTGGGGGTTCTCTTATGGGCCAAGCCCTCCAATGTCAGGGTTTCCTACAGTATTTGTTCAGAGTGTATTGCAAGAGACATAGAGCAGTTGGGAAAGATCACAGAGTGTTTGCACTGCTGGTGATTGCTGAAATTGTCTACATTTATATTAAGTCCTGCGTGTTGGACATTCCTGTAGCAGATAAGGGACAGATCACAAAGTGTTTGCAGGGAGAGATGAGTGATGCTCAAAATTGCTGAAAACATCCATATTTTCATTCATTCACAGACACACTGTGTGTTGGACAGTCCTGTAGCAGATTATGGAGAAATTGCAGAGTGTTTGAAGGGAGCTGCGTAGTGTCTGTTGTGCAGCTCACTGAATGTGCTTAAATATGCTGCAAGTATTCACTACAATATTTTGATTGCTTTTTTCAGTGAAATTAATACATTCCAATATTGATTTTTGATTAAAAAATGGCTGGTGTCTGTCCTGTTTAAAAAGCAGCTTAGTAAAAACACTTAAATACTGTGCATGTAGTCATCACACTATTTTGTTGGCTTTTTCAGTGAAATATATACACTCTAATATTGATTTTTTTTTTACTGAAAGCTGGCTGGTATCTGTCTTTCAAAATGTCACTGTTGTGACATCTGTCTACATCCATCCAAAACTGAAATTACCAGACCCATGTTGGGCTATGGGGAATTGGATGTGAATGGACCAAACATATTCACTCATCTCTTTTATCTACAAAAGACGGAAACCCAGGCTGTGGAGGGGAGTTGTTGTATGTGAAGGGATAACCTAAGGATTATGAAAGTAAACAATTGCAAGCCATCCTATTTAAAGTACCCATAGACATCAGACAATGATTGATGATCGGGTAATAAAACAGACATTTTTTGATTTGTACTTCGTACACATAAAGACGAAGTTGGCCTTCTATCTGCAACTGCAGTGGAACCAGTGAGGAAAGTTTCTAACCTAGGCCATTAGGCTGTCATAGAACCTGCAATTCTGATGTTACCAGAATGTCCTAATTGTTTATATACAATTTGCATTTAATAAAAGGGATAATAAGGGTAGGTGTCATTGTTAATAATGTCTAAAGAAACAATTTAATGAGAATAGATCATTTCTGGAAAAAATGAGTCAGGGTAAGAGTAATGACTGTATTTTTGAAAATATTGTAAATAATTTACTGATCTGTGTTTTTATACTTATAATGAAGAATATGCTGAATGGTGACAGTAGGAATAATGCTCATTAGCTTCTCCAACAGCTTAAACCATGTATTTTTAACATTTTATCTGAGTGTTGATTTTCTGATTGAGTTCTGAATTTCTGGGCTCTAAATGTCAGTTTTTTTATTATTTGGTGACCCAGTAAAGGTGGTGCCGAACAAAATACATGTCCTTAATATAATATGGTGTGTGGGTGAGTGTCAACCAGCATCAGCTCCTTAATCTAGACACATATTTGTTAACTTCTCTTTTGTGGCAGTTGTGTTGAAATCAGATTGATAGTTCTTATCATTTAGCTAATTTATCTGCACATCCACATATCTGGTGTTCTTTTTATTATCTCCAACAAACTTGTCGACATAACCTGTTTTAGATTGAGCATATTCTACTTTGTTTCTATTCACTTCATCTACAGGCGCATAAATGTAATTTACTGGAGTTAGATGTATTTTTTAATATCAGTTATGCACCTAAAACATGTTTAGAAGAGGATTTTCACTTCAACTCCATATTTTCATACATTTTTTCTTTCTCAGATGCATAATTAGTAGTTATTATTTATTATTATTATTATTATTTTCTTAAATTATTGTTTTATCTTTTCTACTTAAAAAATTAAATTCACACATATAAATGTTGCCTATGGGTAGAACTGTTATTGTTTGCATGAAAATAGCATTTAGGGCCTGTTCACACGACGTCCGTTTTCTGTGCTGACCTGATCCGTACGCTCCTGCACTAAAAATGCATCCCAATGTATCCCTATGTGTTTTATGGGCTACAGTTCTCACATGCGCAGTCCGTTCAGGTTACGACAGAAAAAACACTGCATGTCACATTTTGTCCGGTGAGGAACCGGACCGGAAACGCAAAATGCATCAAAAACGCGTCAATAACACGTCAAAAACGCTAGATCCGTAAAACTGTTGTGGCATCCGTGCCCATGCATTTTTTCCTCCATCTTGAAATAAAATTAAAAACTGAAATTACCGAACCCATGTTGGTCTATGGGGAATCGGATGTGAATGCACATGTGTCCGTTTACATCAGATTACCCCCAATCCGGCAAGATCAAGTTAGTCAAAACAGAACACTGATCCGTTTGTTTTCCTGACCTGGCCGGAGCCAGGTGTAACTAGATGTAAACGAATGGTCCGCCTAAAAAACTGACAGGCAGACCTGATCAGAAAACCATGTCGTCAATAACACGTCAAAAACGCACTGCACTGCAGCTAACATACACTGGAAAGCATCAAAAACGCAGCCAAAACACGGCCAAAACGCACTGCATCAGTAGCACCACGTCTGCAGATCTGCACCTGATCAGGACCTGATATCATGTGAACAGGCCCTTAACTCATAAAAGCCCCTGTTTCTTGTGAATCATTATTTTATATCATAAAGCTTTATTCTATCACTACTGGTTTTTGTTCTTCTCAATAGACACCCCCCACTAAAAGGCACAGTTATTGCTGACCTAAAACTAGTGGTATTTTAAGAAGGGATAACCGCATGTGCACCTTTGTGAATTTACGTTTACATCAAAAGATATCAGAAACTGATATAGAAACATATGTGTACTGAATTCAGCTGTTCTGTGCGGCAATGTCTTCAGTAACTTAAAAAATTCATTTTTAATCTTTAAAAAAAAAAAACTAAGAATCTGTTGCAATAAAATATTTTAATACCCACAAATATTATGCTTTTGGAATTGAGCATATTATAACTTTTAAATAGTTCCACTTAGAACAGTTTTTGCTATTACGTTGTAACGTGAATTGCCTTCTATAATGAAGGGTTCCTAGTGTATTTTCTTTAAAAAAGATGGCATTGTTGGATGAGCTGTGACTAGGGCGCAGTTAAGCTCTGTGGTTTTATATATAATAACTATATTCAGTAAAAAGCCTTGAAACTTGTTTTTTTTCACATATTAAGTAAACACGCAAAGAATTCACTTTATCACATTTGCCAGGGGGGCTTATAACGGCCACCTTTTTAACGTAGTTTTAAAGTTTCTTTAAAAAAACCTGTTGCCGAAAAACCTTTTCAGGTACCCCTTCATTGTTATAACTTGTATGAACTCCCATCACTTTTGCTGGAGTGCTTAGGTTGCAATATAAATAAATATATGAGAAACAAAAAACAATCATATACTGAATATTATTGCATGCTTTTGACCTCGTAACTTGCTAAAACTATCCTAAGTCAATATTTTTCCTGAAAGTGTTTTTTTATATATGGAACATTCGTTCCAGCCACACCTACAGTATTACTGATCAATATGCAGATAGCCTGCATTGTAGAATGCAGCTCCTGTAATAAACAACTGACATAAAGGCAGAATATATTACAACCTGTAATCAAACTTTATAGTCAAAAATATGCAAACTTTTCCTTTTTTATAGCATTCAGTTACTTAAATAGTGCTTAGGCCAACCTTTGGTTTTCAGCGACATTGTGGTAAGATAGTAAGTGAAATTATGGCGAATACATGTGCACAGACCAAACATCAACTGCACGGCTAAATCTTTCATACAAAACCGTGTAGTGAAAGCACACCTACTGCCTAATTGTCATTGCCTGAACAAACCAACAAAGATACAAGTAGCCCTGGTAAAAACCTGAGAGGACGGAATACTATGTTGAAACGTGTACTGAAGTTAGAAAAAGAATGGGGATCCACAAAGTATATTACTTTCAAACTACAAAGTGCATTACTTTCTTCACTCTTCCCTGGAGTTTCCTAGCCTCCTGTCAGCCTCATTTGGTGCATCTTTGTATTGTTTCTGAGTGTCCACAATAAGACTGCTAAGATGTTTGTTTGCAAGGATTTAAAGCTTAAGACAAATACACTTTCTGACTCACCAAATGGTATGTGGCCAAAACATGTGCCACAGCCCGGACCTTGAAGCTGCTGGACTTCTTGTCAGATGCCTCAACCTGTTTAGCTGCCATTGCTGTGCTGGATTTTGTCTTTGTGCTGGCTCACTGTTGCTAAGAAAGAAACTTGCTTGATGTACAAACTCTTAACTAGTTTCCTTCCTGTTTTCATTCTCTTTACATAGATGAGAAGCTGAAAACCGATAAGATTATATCTGCATGGGACAAATATAGAAGCAGTAAGGGGAATGCAAAGCACTAATGCCTCATCACTTCTCAGACCTGATATACTTATTTTTTCTCCTGCTGTCTGTATTGTGAAACTTCAGCATCTTTTACTTTTCCCTTTGTATATATAATTTAGTTTAGCTGTATAGAAAAGCTACCTTCCAAGAGCTTAGTGGTTTTAAATTTTAAATGTATTTTTCTACATGAGGATAATGTCTATTAAATATATCATATTTACAGGGACATCCTGACTTGGTCCCATATTGCATAGCTATGTTGTGCCCTTTCTTACAGATAAAAAGTGTGCTTTTGTACCCCTGCCCACCTGCTAGTATGCATATTTGCTATATGAATAGCAAGGAAATTGATGTAGTTCTCCTTGTGTTTGCGTATGTTGTGTATACCTGTGCAGCACTCCCTCCACTGGAGCTGGTGGTATACAATGGGTTCTTCTTCTGTTTCTAGTGTTGACCCACCCTGTAACCGGACCCGAAAATAGTAAAGGCAACAGTTCAATAACAGCAAAATAATTCAATAATACAGTGAAGTGAAAAGGACTAGTGTGTTATCTCTTTACCACCCGTTATGGGCCTTGCTTAAAATGCACTGGGTGAGTGGAGAACAATGCTGCAAGTAATAGAGAACAACATCATATGTATTCAAATGACTCTTAATTGAATGGATTGATGCAAAAGGGGAACCTAACTACCAGTTACAGATGAAGGTATTTGTAATACACACAGCTTAGTACGCCCTCTATAGGACTCTGGAACAATGTATACAATGTAAGAAAGTTCTACTAGGGGTCTCAGTGTCCCACCTGGGTGTAGTTAAAGCTGAGGACAAAGAAATGTGGCCAAAGGCCACTCAGCATTCTGTAAAACATCCTCCTGTATGCAGTGCATCGTCCAAGATAAAGATCAGTTTGATGAAAGGATCCTCTGATAGTAGCTCTCTGGGCCTCTGGCGGGCCAGTGTTTTTCCACTATAGAGCCACTATGTGATGTTATGCACAGGCATCATTAAAGGACATATTCTTCCCTGGCTTTGGAGTGCTGGTGTACTATATTTTTCTGTTCTGATACGGTGCCATCCGTTTGTCACCGCTGCACCCACCACTAAGATACGAACTTTACATGTACCCATGTTACATATACCTATGTGGCACTTTTTGGGATCTGATGGGCTAATGTGGGGTCAGGTAATATTGTGTCAGACAGGATGGAGTTGTACGAGAGGTAGATTGCACTGTCACTGATTACAGCCAGGTGAATATCAGCAGCAGGTACAAGCTATGGCATATGACCTCACAGATTATAGCTGTTCTCCTGGTGAGAAGTGTCCTATTCCCAGACAGTCTTTGCAGAGCTGAATGATCCCCTGCAACAGCCTACATGTTATTTCATACCCGGTGGATCTATTCCCCCCTCCACATGCCTCCCTTTTTCCCTGGTGGACTCCATGTGGATCCCCCTGGCCTTCTGGATCACCTCGTGGTTCAGTCCCTTATTCCCCTGCTCCGAGACTGCATTTCCTCTTCCTTTATCACGTCCATCCCAATACATTCAGTTGTGGGGCCTAAGTTCTCAGCTGCAGATGTGGTCAACTACATACCTCACTGGTCATTTAGCATTGGGGAGAACGAGCACAACTGCAGTGCCCACGTTGAGCAGCTGCCATGCCCTAAAGGGGCCACCAGTGCTAGGGCTACAACATGATAATTCTGTAAATTACTACTTAGAATTGAGACAATTTAGAACTGAAGCCAATATGTTTTTAGTTTTGCATAATATAAAGGTGGGTTAGCATTTGTCAGCATTTTTGTGCCGTCTGTCTTTCCAATCTTATTAGAGAGATTTCCCTTCACTTCCTGTCTGATAGACACAACAGGAAGTGAGAGCAAATCCCTCCAAAGAGTGGGAAATCGCTGGTGGTAAGCAGGGTTACCTGATCTAGTGTCCCCAGTGGAATATTTCATATCTATTTCTGTTCTAATGACAACCCAAACTTTGGAATTTTCTTTCACTTTCAGTGATAACGGTCTCTAGGACAAAGAGTGAGTCTCCTTAGCTGGGACCCAGAAATCAATAAAACAGTGGTTCTAATTCCTCTCCACTCTATTCAAAACGAAAAACAAAATTAACATTGAAAGAGCTTCATGGACTCACCGCTCCAATTCTAACCTCGGCTGCAGTTAATTCACACTCTTGGTGCAGGCTGTAGTGTTCTTCTCACTTGCCCAAATCAATCTCCAAAAGATCAGCCGCACAGAAACCAGCGTAAGTGTGATCCAAAATGTATTAAAGTAAATCCAAACCGATTGCAAAAGGCTAATCCAAAAATTGATATGCAACATGTACATCACCATGAGTTTCTCCCATACCAGGCCAAAGCCTCTCACGCGTTTCACCACCTGGGCTTAATCAATGAAAATTATCCTGCATTATGAAATGACCTTTAAATTAAAACCAAACTTGGCTTAAATATGAACCATGGTTGGGCCAGGAGAGTTAAAGTGGCTTTGCAGGCCCCTGACCCTCGTAACCTTTCCATTCTTGATATGTCTGTTCTCGTCTTGTTATGAAATTGGGTTGATATTGTAACTCAGTTTTATGACTTAAGGGTGACGGATGGGTCACCTGGGTTGTTAACTCTACCAGGCCTGCTTGTGTTTATATAAACCTTTCAACTGCTAATGTATGGGTGCTCTGCCATTCTGCTTGATTGACAGTAATTAGTGGAAGCCTAAGAGGGTGTTTCTGGTATCTTGCTTGTTAATTAGGACTAAAGACTATAAAGATCACAAGCCAGATTAGCAGATCTCTGTTTTATGGAATTTGAAGAGACCTGCCAAACTAAGGGTAACCTACTGTATTAAAGATTTGCTTTAAGCTAGGGGAGAAGAGAATTTCTTACTTAATAATAATAATCTCAAACCCCATTACAGTCCCACTAATAACGCACATACTGTCCCTGGGTAGCTGAATATACTGTATGTAGGGAGCTGTGGTTTCTGGCCAAACCTGAATTACATGGCTGCCCTTGTCTTCTTCATTACATGGAAGATGGGGAGATGAATAGATAGCATTGTTTTTGTTTTTAGCCTATCTGAAAGGAAGTGACAAGGACACCGCATTTCTGGCAAGATCAACATGTTTTTTCTGTACTTGCTGAAAATGTTCTTTGCCTGAAAAATGAAAAGGAATGCAGCCACTACATCTAAGGTTTGGTAAGTGGCAACATACAACATTTTTGTTCCGGGGTTTCGTATTATTTAAATAAATGTATAATTTATTAAAGTTAACAGTTATTAAAGATTCCCTTTAAATGCCAGATGTATGAAAAGCTGGACGAAACATTGATAATACAGAATTGCACAACTACAATACCTTTTGTCATTTATTATGCAGAAATTATTATGTAGATATATCTGCAAGTATTTTTGTCCCAACAATTCATAGACAGTCATTATCCCCTAATAATAGTACAGATCATTAATACCTGCAGGGCTTAGAGGGCCAGTGTACAAAGGTATCACTAAGTATTTTTAATTGCAAAGCTAGGATTCTGTCCTACCATTCCCAGCTCCAGGCTATATGAAGAACACAGAGGAATCATGTTTTATCTCCCGGTTGGATACCACTGTTGTAAAAAAATGGATTGTAAATAGTTAAAAGGCTGTTCGACAGCAGGCTGAAAAAAAATGTGTTTTAAGGCACCAGTTGTGCAACACATTTGCATAACATTTTTAAACTTTTTTTGCATAACTGTCTAACTTATGATAATAATGAAATATAAATGTCACCAATAAGGACACAAAGTAATGTATGCTGATACCAAGTCCAACAATTAAACTGTGCAGTGTTATTAGGGGTACTGATTATGTATGCATAGACAGTGTAAGTAAGTGAAAATATGTAGACTTGTAAAATGATGACGAATGTTTATGCTTGAATGAAAATGATCATTCTATGTTCATAATTCTTCCTCTTCAATTTTGTGACATTCCAAGAGGACACCTTTCCCTCTGTTGCAGCTGCACATAGAGGTCTCTTGTATTCAGTCTACATAGCTAGCTGAGGCTGTAATATGAATTGTGCAAATGAGTGAGCTCTCTGTGTCTGTGGAATCTGCACATTCCTCTGCCCCTAAGGTGGGTTAGCTGATCAGTGTGGTAGGAAATAGCTGGGCCCGGGAGACGTGCATAGTTGTTTGTTTAGGGAAAAGCATCCATCAGACTTTCTCAATCAATGGTCTGTCCTCCTGAGCTGAATGAGTCTCGTATGCCCCTGACTTTGACTGCTTTACAGGTAGCATACTTATCATCTCTGTTCAGGGATAAGAACACCTTGGGTGTGACGGTCTGGATTCCACACATCCGGGACTGTGGATTCTGTACAAGTCTAACAAGGTTCATAGACAGGATCCCCTTGTTTATTCTCTGTGATATAAATCCTCACCGAATGGCTCCTTAGGGCAAAAACATCTGACTTTCCTACACTTTTGTAAATGAAGAAAGTAGAGAGGAATTGGTGGCTATGGTGATGCCTATGTAAAAGGGAAAGCTCTTTACTAATTCTGTTTGCAGGAGCAATAAATCAATAATTTATCAACCTTTTTTGCTGCTGGGCGTCATAAATAAAATAAAGGCTCGAAGGCTATAATTTGTAAAACTGTTTTTCAATCTTCTCAGGCACAGTAAGCAACCTGCTTTTTAGGTGGGTGACAGGAAACCAATCAAACCCTGTTCATAATTTCTACTACCCCATAAAATTGTATGGAGCACAACCAATGCTGATATTAATGCCCAACAGTTCTATGATATACCGGGCTTATATAAAAAGAGAAAAGCGCAAAGTGCTGCAACCATAGACACCAATCAGAAATCATATTTTAT